GTTTTAAATGTCGATTCTATAAATGAATGGATACTTTTAAACGAATATAATAAATTTAAAAAAAATCTTAATTAAGTTTTATAAGTACTTTTTAAGTAACAAAACATTACTTTTTTTACATTACATTTTTTTGATTAGATAAAGAGTTCTTTTTCGTTGAGAAGTGTATAAAAGCTTACTTTACACACGAAGATTAGCTTCGTTATTAAAAGACACGGATGGTGCTTTTCTGCATTAACTCTTTTTTAATGGAGGGTTGCTAGCATAAGAGACCTGTTAAGGCTTTAAGTGTAATGAAGAAAAAGGGTTTTATTCTCATTAACCATACATTTTACATTCATAAAACCCTTATAAAGAAATTAATTTGTTAAACTAATTTAACGTTTTTCGCAGAAATTTTCTTATCTTATTTCTAAAAAATGTTTGAGGTTAGTTCGGTTTATTCTAATAACTTTTCTTAAAAAAGTAATCTAAATATTTTATCGATTTCATATAAAATTATTCGACAACGATTATTTTTGTTATGTTCAAAATTAAGAATCCCATGAAAAATATAAGACAATGACGATTGTTTTCAAGCACGGTGTATTCATAAATCATTGTTCACCAAGTTATTTCGCTTACACGGTTCTCTTCTTTATGAATGAAACACTCACCGGTACACTCACATCGGGTGTCGTTGACTCACGAAAAGGATATACACTGTGTTAATACTACATACTTAGAAGAGAGAGGGGCCGCGTCATACCTATTGTGTGTGTTACGTTTGAGAAATCAGGTTACATTGAAGATATTATTGAGGTTTAAGTGAGAAAATTGTACAATCATCGTTGTGGAATGTTTACGGTTAATCATCGTGATGAAATTTTTATTTAGAAACCAACTACAAAAACTAACTGGAAAGAAATAACATTAGATTAAAAGTTTGTTTGATGTTTTCATACAGTTTTTGATAAATATAATCTAGTATAGTTCTAAATCTAACGCAATTTTCTTTGTATCAGAGGCTATGTACACAAATTTGGATATGAAGATGTATTATTCGTTGGCATCATCAAGTGATGTTCAGATACAGACGTATTATCATCGTTGATGCAAAATCTTATTAGTTAGGTTTAGGTTTGAATACTGGAAACGATTTTGTAAATGAGTATCATTTACCAAATTAGGCAGAGTATATGGCCACCGACCATCTAGTAAAGAAAAGTGAGAGAAGTGATAAGAAGAAGTGGATAGACGAACAGAACTTGCTGCAATAAGAGCTGATGCAAAGGAATTATATAGCATGATAAAAATTCTGTCTAGGAAGGGATTAAATAAGCTAATTAATCCAGCTCAAGAGGGGGAAAGAACATTACTCCGAATAGACAATAAGAAAGAGAGGCAGTGATGCTGGATTTAGCATAAAGGCATCAAGTCGTAATGAAAAAAAAACAACCCTCAAGCAGATCAGTACTGGAAAAGCACCAGGTATAGGCAACATTGCACCTGAAGTACTAAAACATAGAGTACTGTTGGATTATTACACCCGTTACTTGAGAAGATATGGACAGAAGAAAGGTTGTCTTGAAGTTTGCTAGAGGCTGAAAACTACACCATTTGTAATAACTGGCGAGGCATCACTCTTTCGTCTATGCCAAGAAAAGTATTCCCGAGCATAATCTTGAATCGAGTTAAGGTCTCCGTGAAAAAGCGTTTGATTAAGGAGCAATCAGGTTTGCGTAAACACTGAAGTTGCGTTGATCTTATCAATACAGTTCGCGTTATTATTGAGCAAAGTGCAGAATGGCAGAGTACTCTATACTTGATTTTCATCGACTCTGAGAGAGCCTTTGATTCGTAATATAAAATATTTTTCAGCACTTATGAATTAGAAGACATCGACTTAAACTTAAAAAACTTTAATATAAGAAACAATGTTTTTGATAAACAAAAAACTTTGTCTAAAATATTCAAATATTGTTGTAGTTACTGCATAGATGTCTACATAAATTGATGGTAATCTGCAGAGATAATCCACTGTTGCAGCTTTGTTGGATATGAACAAAGCTGAAACTCAAAAATTATATTATTATTTTAATAGACATGTTAAATTATATTCTGGAAAAGCTGCGCAAATACGATGTTCAAAGGGAAGTAGGAAAATTGAATGATATACACTCAATGCAAGAGAAAATCATCATGAAAGTCCCTCTCATGTTCTTGATTTATGAATGATGTACTTATTATTATGGTATACTTATGCGCCCACGATATCAATGCTCTGATGACGAATAGAGTTGGTTTAGTGGGGTTTGCACGTCATAGTATTGTAATTACTCTGTAATAACTACTTACTTTACTTACTCTACAGTAAAGTCATTAAAACATTACCTCTCCAACTAATATTAGTACTCAACCAACATTACCTTTTAAGTGTGATGTAAAGAGAAAGTCTTTTATATTAAATGCCACCAATTATAATTATTTTCGACATATTCTCAATTTTGATTCATATCCTTATTATATACTCTTGTTATATCTAAATTTTTAGAGGCTTATATAAAGATTAATCGATTTCTGAAAAAACGATAAGCTCCTTGACTACATTCCATATTTCTTGTTTTACGATTTATTTCCGGAAAAGCTTGAACTCCCAATGAATCGAACACACTCATCATAACCTTTAAAATCGTTCTTTGTTTTACATCCTTTCATCTATGAAAATTTAGTCATATTTAACTGAAACTTTAATGAATCATCACAAGGATTTCAATAAAGAGCTAAATTTTATCGGGTATTACTTCGTCTTTTTTAAGAGAGATTAAATTTCATTCGTATTAAAGTTTTTTGGGATGGATTAAATTACTGTTCCATTTAAAATCCACCTAGTTTATGAAATGTCATTTCAAAATGTTTATTTTTAGAATTTTTTAATCGTTTTTGCATCCCGAGATGATATTGTTTGGTATTATGGTGCTTTATCGCATAATAAGAAGTTTACCTCGAGTTTTATGACCATTAAGATAACTTGACTAAAATTAAATTACATTTAATAGAGTAGATCACAATAATAAAAATCGTGTAATGCTCTTAAATTTGAGATACTATAACTCTATTGATTATATTATCATTATTCGTCTAACAAAAGCCGACTTTATAACTCGTGTAACGGGAAGTTGTCACTTTCATTCTGAAAGGAAATGTATGTAATAATTTTACTAATCTTACGTTGTTAAAAGTGCTAAAGAAAGCTGTCATGATTTACTTGCTCAGATCTCAACGTAAATTAGGTGGGTCAATGATGTGTTTGGAGATCATTTGATGTACCTTAAGATGTATGATGTAAGATTACACCATTGGACTTTATTAGATTTTGGATTATTGTAGAAATAAAGCGATTCCTCATATTCTAAAAGTAGATAAATAGAGATTATGGGTATTATATTATATTCTGAACATAATCCCAATTCTGGCGCATCTGAAATGTAGTGATATTACATCATACGATCCGTGTTTAAAACATGTAAGCAGATGGCATATTTGAGGCTTGCATTCTTAAGTTCGAACATTATTTAGATTTCTTATTATTTATATCTTAGCAGAATATCTCAGTCACATCTCTATGCTTTTTTCAAAAGGTTGGTTTCTCCTCAACCTCAATCTCTGGCATAAATTTTTATTGAATTTATAAATAGGACAGCTTAGGTTTATCATTTACATATCATGTGGGGCTCATTGTTGGTCAAATCAGTAATGTCATACAGTATAAATATGTTTATGCAGGAATTAGGACTACATATATCTGGAAAAAGATAACTAAAGCTAAGGCGTAATTGCACATTTATGTTGCACGAGGAGATGCAGAGACTGGGGATTTGTAAGATTCGCATTAAATTCTTTTTTTTTTTAATTATTTTTATCTTGGGCAGTGTTTCTGCAGGCTTTATAACCCATATCATTAATTCATTCAAATCACCCATGATTTGATTAGAATTAATTGTATTTTTGTATCAAAAGTAGGAGTGATTAATGGATCAGGTTTACAACTCAACAGTTTCCTAGGCAGCCTGGCTATTGTTTTTTCTGGTTGTAGACGACTATATAGAGGTTATAATTTTGGTGTTTTCGCAGTGTGTACACCTTTGTTAAATATTCTGCCATACCTAGTCTATATCCGTAGTCTGCCTAATGTCTTCAAGCATATATATGATGATGACCAACTTATTTCTGCACAGGAACTAGTTTGGAGCATAGCTGCTTTTAAGAGTTCGTTGGTATCTTTAGCTACTCATACTTCATTAATGAGTTTAAGAATCTCGATATGGTGTTGGATTTTAAAACACTTTATATGTGCTATAAAGGGACTTCAACCAGCATTTAAAAATTAGATAGTATATGTACATCCCTAGTGTTGTCGCTTTTCAATTTTGGTGATATTTTGCATCATACTTCTATTGGTTTATTTACTATCAAACACATTCAATGTCAATAAACTCATTCAACATTAATTTAAGTAAGAATGTTGGAAGCGTCTTGAGATACTACTTCTAAATTCCTGAAAATTAATTACTTGAAATAAAGATTCGATGACACATTTTCTATTTATCATCTTGCATATACAAAGTATATAAAGAGAAAGTTTTTTATTTTTAGACTTATGACTAAGTTTTTAGAGTTTACACAAACTTAACTTTTTAAAACTCTAGTTCTCTTAAAGCTCAAGTTTGCATCTGCAAAGCTTTTCGCACTAATCAATTTTGATGCATCCCTTCTATTATTAATATCCCTCCCTTTACTCATCTATGCACTCAAATCTTTCACATCCACGAAATTAAGTTAATTCAAAACTCTCACGTTACCGCCTGATTTTGAATTATAAAAGCAACCCAATATTTATTTATTTATTAATTCATATGTTTCGTAAATGGCTAATTTAGTTTAATTTACCATTATTGTAATATAAAAAAGCGAGTTTTATTTGCGTTGATGAAAATGCAATAATTTTTTTTTATTTTCAGATGGATTTTCGCGTTTTAAAGCGGCTTTTCCAGAATGGTGCGATAGTTGCAGCGAAATGCTTCAAAATCCGAGCGGTTTACCAACGGAGGAAGCCCCAGATATACCGCTTTTGGGACTACAATCGTTAAGGATTTCATCGCAACCCCAACATAGACCTCATAGGAGTTGTGATAGTCTTTCTTCAATGGCAAATAGTTCAACTGAAAGTTCAGATACAGACGATAGATGCGATAGTTCTTTAGGTAAATTAGAAAATAATTTTTGGGTTAATTTATTTAGTTTATTGCAACATTATAGGTTTGGAAGATGATCGGGATTTCCCGGTTGAAATTTTACCATACCTTTTCTTAGGTAACGCCGCTAATAGTGAAGATAGTCAAGCATTAGCAAGGCACAGTATACAGGTAGGTTTTTTTATCACAATTTTTATTAAATAAAATTATTTTAAATATTTTTTTAGTACGTTTTAAATGTAACACCGAATTTACGAAATGTTTTTGAAGACGATGGTAATATTAGTTACCTACAAATCCCAATAGAAGACCATTGGTCGCAGAATCTCGAGAGTCATTTTCCCAAAGCGATAGAATTTATTGGTAAGATAAATTGAATATTATTTTTATAAATTTAGAAACTTATCTAATTCTGGAAATCGAAGAGATGAGAGAGAGAGAGCGTGGGCGATTCAAAATTTATCCCCCGCATATCCCTTTCGGTCTCGACCGCCCACGCTAAAATCAATAGGAGTCCGCCAACACCCCCCTTTTTCCTCCACCTTCTAGTGCAGCCGCCTACGCAGATAACCTCGGCCCAGCGAGCGATTTCATTCAGCAGCCATGAATGAGGGAGATCTGGGTCATGCCGCGTTCCTAAAACGCCCCCGCCTACCCTTCTCAATTCTCGTCAAACCCAACCCCCATTCACCAAAAAGGAAAACCGTTACTCTCACCAAACAATGTTTCTATTAATGATAAAATTGTTATGCGGCAAACTTTTATTAAACCGAATTTATTTAAATGAAAATATAACGTAGTTTATTGTAAAATAAAATTTAGTTATAATTTATTTTTGTTTGTTTTTCAGACGAAGCTCGTTCAAAAAAGAAAGGAGTATTAGTTCACTGTTTAGCAGGAATTTCACGATCAGTAACAATAACAGTTGCTTACTTAATGTACAAGTGCCAGTTAAATTTAAACGACGCTTTCAATTTAGTTCGTTCCCGAAAATCAAACATCGCCCCAAACTTCCACTTTTTACGACAGTTGCACAATTACGAGCAACAATTAAAATTGCACGAGTCTTCCGAAAGTCCGGTAGCGTTAATTGAACAATTACGACAACACGATCATCATCATCGGGGTCGATATTATCGTCCGCAAATCGGCGGGGGTGGCGTCGGAGGTGTTGGTGGCGGCGATCCGAGGAGATCTTGTCCACAGTGTGGTCACACAGACGATTGTAAGTGTCGTTCGACGACGGGGGTTTCCGGAGATTTCTTAAGTCCGATGGCCCATTTAGGAGTTAGCCCCGATTCGGGGATTGAATTCGATCGATGGTCGTCGTCAAATACACCGGGTGAATGAGACATTCAGGGGGGGTCACAGTGGCACTTCTAAAATATTTTTTAAAGAAGATATTTGAGGGCGTGTTATTGTAATCCCTCCGTGGGTAAGACGGTGGAATTTTTTATGACTTTTTCTATCTTTTTATTATTATTATTATTTTTTTTGGTTATATTTTTTCCAAGATTGTTTATATGAAAAGATGTAGAAAAAATTAATTAAATATCATAAATAATTATTAATAGAATAACTAGATTTTTTTGACCAGTGATTTTTTTGTTTATATGTGGGTATTATTTTAATATTGTGCAGACTGTAACATGGCATTTAAGTTAATATTTAAAAGAAGTAAAGTAAATGTGTTAATAGTTGACGTTATATTGACAAAAGTTGTATATTTTTATATGTTTATTCGTAAAATTTCATAATTTATTGTATTTTATAATTAAAATATTTTTCAAGGTAATGTTTGAATATCTGGAGGGCTGTAATTTAGAAATCATATTGCTGATGATTATGTTATCTTGGTTAAAACAAATTTGTATGTTAATTTCTCATTTCAAGTCGATTATTATTTGATTTATCACCATGAACCTTAAATATTAAAAAGTTTGAGGTTGCACCATGATTAACTCCATTCCTATCATAAATTGAAATATTCTATTCTGTTACTTTGCTAATTCTGCTTTATGAACTAGTTTTATTTTAATAGCTATGTGCTAAATTAATGTTACAATATGTTTACTTGGTTAGATTTTATCCTAATTATTATCAATTTTAGTATAATTTGTTGTTTTTAATTCGATTATTATCTCATTTGTCACAAGTATTAGTTTTTTTTTCAATTTTAAAGTGTTTCTATCCTGTTTGGGTTCTAGATAATTCAATTTAGTTATAGTTAAAGGCTATTTTTAGTTACTTTTGGTAATTACAAGCTGATTATTATTGATTTTAATTTAATTTTATACTCAATGTCAAATTGATATCATCACATATTGTTATTTGATGCCTTTGTTGGAACTTGAAATAATAACCACTCATATATGAACACCTCCAAACTGATTCTTTCAGAATAATGTATGCACTTTATAATAAACAGCGCCACTCTTTCAAATATGTTATCAAAAAATACAAAAAATGTTTAGTTGCTGCCACAAATATGTTTTTCATATTATGTTACAATGTATTTTATAAAGTGATAACACAAAATAATCTTTACATTAATATGGTTTGATCTTTACTTTATTTTTATCAATAAAAACACCTCCAGATATTTAAAATATTTATTGTCAACATTTAATGTCAATTATTAAAGTTTACTTTAAAAACTTTTAGATGAAAAAATTCACCTACACATTCGATTAATTATTAAAAAAATTCAGTATTATAACTACTTATAAAAAGTCGTTATTTAAATTTTTTGTTGATTTTGTTATAAAAAGACTGTTTTGAGGCAGCGCTACATAAAAAAAATCTTTAAAAAAGCTTCGCTCTCGATTCACCTTTAATTTATGTTGCTTTGGCACTATTTATAAAATCATTTTTAGCACAAATCTTTGATTTTAAGTTTTTTTAATAAATAAAATAACTGTCAAATATAAATTTTAACAGTTGATGTTTGAAATAACTACATTTTTACAACTTTTAATAAATAAATTACAACTCGCATACCAAAATAAAAACTTATTCTGTATGTAATTAATAAATTGTAACTAATAATGATTTTTCCTTTAAGTAATTGTTAAATTTAAACAAATATATAGATTTATAATTAAGTGCCATAAATTTAGTTGCTAATGAATTCTAACTTTTAAAAAATAAATCATCTTGCCATAATTTCATTAAAAAAGACTTTTAAGTTTAAATTTTGAATTCTTTACTGGACAAAAAGATGGTAAAACGATGATTAATTAAAATTAAAATCGTGGTTTAATTAAAAACAGAAAAAAAATTGCCATTATTAAAATTTAAAGTGGAAATTGAGTACAGAAATAACTGTTATTATTACGTAAATGAAAAAAAATTAAAAGAGGAAGTTTGTAACAAACAGAGTTATATCGAACGGCTTTGCGTTTGTAATCGAAAAACAAAAAAAAAACATATTTTGTAACTTGATAAAAACTTTTCTAAATATTATAATTAAAAAAAAAACGTAAGACATTCCGGTTTTTTGCAATAAGAGCAACAAAAAATAATTACAAAAAAAAAACAGAGATCTATATATATACCTTTTAACACTTGTTATAGTAAATTTAATAAATGTTATCTGTATATACAACATATATTCGTATGTCTAAATATGTAAAAAATGAAATTCTTCTTCCATTTTTGCCGCGAAACTCCGAAAATAAATAAAAAGGGGATTCGCTACGCTAAATTAATTTTTATTAATTTTTTTTTGTTTTGATAATAATTATCTTTGTAATTAAATAGTAACAAGATTATTATTTGGTGTTATTTTATATGAATATATCGATTATTGTAATTTTTAAATAATAAATATTTTGAATGTGTTTCAATGGTTTTTATAACATCTATTCTTTTAATCCTAAGATGCACGACCTAAAAAACATTATTGCGGCCCCTTTATGACAAAGCGATGGTTTTCTAGATAGATAGATAACACAGCGAGACTAGTTTCGTAGCCTTTGCGATATTGTTCATCACAAGTAGGTCTTTATTAATTTTAATTTGGAAAAACTGCGTTCTCCAATTGCAACTGTGACTGGTATTGTTAACAGAATAGGCAGAGTTATCCAGGTTTAGAAAACAACTTATAAAGCGAGTATTTTTTGATCAAATTCAGGTAGGGGTCTTTCAGGTAATGTTGCAGACTCCAGATTTCGTCACAGTAAGTCTCCATTAATATCGGATTTAGAGTTGAATGTTAGTTTTTTTTTCTTTTATGCCAAAAAAATGCCAAGTCAGAAAAATCTTTAAGTTGACTAAATCTTTTTTATAGGCATAAGTGTCCAAGAGATTATTAAAGAACCTCAAACATTTTTTTGAGGTCATTTATTGGTTCTAATGTGTCTGGGCTTTGGGCTTTAAAAATTGGCGCACATTTACTTCTGACGTTATTTCTGTTGCTGTTATAACAGTTTGTTCGAAACCTATTTGTCGGTAATTTTCCAAATATGAACAACAGTTTTTATGCATTTCTGTAATATGAACGAAGTCGATATCGGTTGATGACTTGCTTTGCTCACAACATTGATTTAAAAAAGAACACTGTGCCATGTTACAAGATAAATTATAAAGTTAAAGTCTTTCTTTCATGTTGCAGCCATTGTCATAGCCCTGTTTCCTGCAATCGCTAATATTGAGATTGTTATCACTCAATATTTGTAAAATAGCTAGGCCTTCTGTGGGACCTGCACTCAAATCCTCGATTATGTCAGTGCACCTTAATGTTAGGGAAACTTGCTCTTTATGGCTTATATCAGAGGTACCGTCAGCTATTATTGCAAAAAGCTTTGAATTCTTTACATGGCATAATAATCTGGTTTTAACTTGCGATGCCATTAATTCTATCAAATTATTGTGTATATTTTTTCACAATAAAGGTCAGCCAAGTCACCACTCATTGCTAATTTTACATGCTCCTTCATGACAGGGTCAAACCTTGCCAGTTATTGTACGAGCCCTAGATATTTCCCATTATTTGAGGTAAATAATTTATCAGAAAATCCTCCAAAACTCAGATTATTTTCAGCTAAATGTAATGTAATCTGCATCAATCGTTGAAGCACATTTTCCATCGTAAACTTTCGTTAGAAATTAATTTTTGTGTTTCTTTGTCTATAGTTGATCCAGTTTTAATCTAATTTCAGCTTCAAATAACTGATGTAAAACCTGGATACATTGAAACTTAACTGAACTACAGATGAAAACAACAAAAAATCATAAAATGCAAATTTAGAACAAACTACTTTCTCCTTCCTTCATTTCAAGTGGTACGTTGCAAAGAGTAAGAACTGTAATTTGTTTCTTCAATAAATATTGGCAAAGTGGCATGATAGTAAAAAAATTATCGACTGTCAGATTTAGTCCAGAAGATTTTTCCAAACTCCTTCACCAACACACACTAAACCATCAATAGCAAAACCCAATGTCGACTTACACATCCAAACAAATTGTATCCCGGATTTTGCGGGTTGAATTTATATTGTCTTCGATATGGAACCAATTGTTAATCAATAGTAACATTTTCATCTTCTGTTATTAAGCCAATTCTGCACTGCTGTAAAAATAAATTCTAAATATTAGAAATCATTGCAAGTTTATCTTCTTTGAGTCTTTCATCTTAGGTTCTTTTGTCGTCAAAACGCAGAAATATTGATACATTCAAATTTTTTAACTGCCATTCCAACTTTGTACAAATAATAGGCTTTTCCCGAGAATGGTTCCCTTATTGTCACATCCCAATTTCTTTTAACACCGACTTGCAGCACCAAAGCCAAAAATGCATAAAGCTCAACTAAGTCTATTTATGCCATCATATATTTTTCTGTAGACTACTTACACGTCTAACTTTTAACGTCTTAAAATATTCAAAAGCATCTCGAAGGGAACAAAATATTTTAGACGTCTTGTAATGTTATACACACGAGTTTTAGGTTGACGTGGTGGTGTAATTTGCCATAGCATTTCGTTTGAAGCAACCAATTCATTTGTGGAATGCGTAGTTGTGTTTTTAACTTCATCTTTACTAGATTCTTCGCTGTTCCGATTCTGAAGTTTCACCAATAAACCATTTCTCAGCAATATAAAGCCCGAATGCACTGCTTTCAACTGTGGTCGAGTTTATAAACACGCTAGTTTTGCAAGTTCAAAGAAGAACGATCTTTTAGCAATAACCTCACTCACGTCTTATTTGATTCAGACAGATTATGCACCTTCGAAATTGTATCATAAACGTATAGGGTATGTACTTAAAGAAAACATTTTGATGTCTCATTTGAGATATAGACGGTTTCTCTTTATAAAGTTTGAGATTAAAAAATGACATCAACTTATTTTATTTGTCAACATCTCTTATAATTTGAAAATCTCTGAAATTGTATTACTAACATACATGTTATGTTACATCATTTTAAAGAGGATACTTTAAAGTTTCATTAAAGATATAAAACGTTTCTTAGTTCCTAGAGACATGGCAGAAATGGTATTTTTAAGTTTGACGTTTAAAAAACGCAATTAACTGAATTTTACATAGTTTTAAACTTGGGTTTTTCCGTAATTATATAATAAACATATAGTTTATGTTGCATCTTCTTAAAGTGCACGCTTTGAGCTTTTATTTAAGATATATANAAGAACGATCTTTTAGCAATAACCTCACTCACGTGTTATTTGATTCGGACAGATTATGCACCTTCGAAATTGTATCATAAACGTATAGGGTATGTACTTAAAGAAAACATTTTGATGTCTCATTTGAGATATAGACGGTTTCTCTTAGATATAAGCCGGAAGTGATTGTACAAAATTTGAGATTAAAATAATTACATTAATTTATTTTTTTTTGTCACTATTTTTTTGTAATTTGAATATCTCTGAAATTGTATCATTAACATATCGGTTATGTTATATCATCTTAAAGAAGACATTTTAAGCTTTCATTAAAGATGTAAATCGTTTCCTGATTCTTAGAGGTATGGAAGAAATGGTATTTTAAAGTTTGACATTTAAAAAGCGCAATTAACTGAATTTTAACAGTTTTAAACTTGGATTCCTTCGAAATTGTATGATAAACATATAGTTTATGTTGCATCTTCTTAAAGTGCACGCTTTGAGCTTTTATTTAAGATATATATCATTTCTACACTGTTAGAAGCAAACCGGAAGTGACTTTATAAAGTTTGAGATTAAAAAATGACATCAACTTATTTTATTTGTCAACATCTCTTATAATTTGAAAATCTCTGAAATTGTATTACTAACATACATGTTATGTTACATCATTTTAAAGAGGATACTTTAAAGTTTCATTAAAGATATAAAACGTTTCTTAGTTCCTACAGACATGGCAGAAATGGTATTTTTAAGTTTGACGTTTAAAAAACGCAATTAACTGAATTTTACATAGTTTTAAACTTGGGTTTTTCCGTAATTATATAATAAACATATAGTTTATGTTGCATCTTCTTAAAGTGCACGCTTTGAGCTTTTATTTAAGATATAAACCATTTCTACACTGTTAGAAACAAACCGGAAGTGACTTTATAAAGTTTGAGATTAAAAAATGACATCAACTTATTTTGTTTGTCAACATCTCTTATAATGTGAAAATCTCTGAAATTGTATTACTAACATACAGGTTATGTTACATCATTTTAAAGAGGATATTTTAAACTTTCATAAAAGGTATAGAACGTTTCTTAGTTCCTAGAGACATGGCAGAAATGGTATTTTAAACTTTGACGTTTAAAAAGCGCAATTAACTGAATTTTACAAAGTTTTAAACTGGGGTTCTTCCGAAATTATATAATAAACATATAGCTTATGTTACATCTTTTTAAAGTGCACGTTTTTAGCTTTTATTTAAGATATAAATCATTTTTACACTGTTAGAAACAAACCGGAAGTGACTTTATAAAGTTTGAGATTAAAAAATGACATCAACTTATTTTATTTGTCAACATCTCTTATAATTTAAAAATCTTCGAAATTGTATTACTAACATATGGGTTATGTTACATCATTTTAAATAGGATATTTTAAACTTTCATTAAAGATATAAAACGTTTCTTAGTTCCTAGAGACATGGAAAAAATGGTATTTTAAACTTTGACGTTTAAAAAGCGCAATTAACTGAATTTTACAAAGTTTTAAACTGGGGTTCTTCCGAAATCATATAATAAACGTATAGCTTGTGTTACATCTTCTTAAAGTGCACGTTTTTAGCTTTTATTTAAGATATAAACCATTTTTACACTGTTAGAAACAAACCGGAAGTGACTTTGTAAAGTTTGAGATTAAAAAATGACATCAACTTATTTTGTTTGTCAACATCTCTTATAATTTGAAAATCTTTGAAATTGTATTACTAACATACAGATTATGTTACATCATTTTAAATAGGATATTTTAAACTTTCATTAAAGATATAAAACGTTTCTTAGTTCCTAGAGACATGGCAGAAATGGTATTTTAAAGTTTGACGTTTAAAAAGCGCAATTAACTGAATTTTACAAAGTTTTAAACTGGGGTTCTTCCGAAATCATATAATAAACATATAGCTTATGTTACATCTTCTTAAAGTGCACGTTTTTAGCACTTATTTAAGATATAAATCATATTTACACTCTTAGAAGTAACCCGGAAGTGACGTTATAAAGTTTGAGATGAAAAAAATTATATCAATTTAATTTGTTCAACATTTTTTTTTGTAATTTGAATATCTCTGAAATTGTGTTACTAACATATGGGTTATGTTACATCATCTTAAGGAGGACATTTTAAGCTTTCATTGAAGATACAAATCGTTTCTTAGTTCCTGGAAATATGGCAGAAATGGTATTTTAAAGTTTGACGTTTAAAAAGTACCATTAACTGAATTTTACATATAGTTTTAAACTTGGGTTCCTCCAAGATTATATAATAAACATATAGCATATGTTACATCTTCTTAACGTGCACGTTTTTAGCTTTTATTTAAGATATAAACCATTTTTACACTGTTAGAAACAAACCGGAAGTGACTTTATAAAGTTTGAGATTAAAAAATGACATCAACTTATTTTGTTTGTCAACATCTCTTATAATTTAAAAATCTTCGAAATTGTATTACTAACATATGGGTTATGTTACATCATTTTAAATAGGATATTTTAAACTTTCATTAAAGATATAAAACGTTTCTTAGTTCCTAGAGACATGGAAAAAATGGTATTTTAAACTTTGACGTTTAAAAAGCGCAATTAACTGAATTTTACAAAGTTTTAAACTGGGGTTCTTCCGAAATCATATAATAAACGTATAGCTTGTGTTACATCTTCTTAAAGTGCACGTTTTTAGCTTTTATTTAAGATATAAACCATTTTTACACTGTTAGAAACAAACCGGAAGTGACTTTGTAAAGTTTGAGATTAAAAAATGACATCAACTTATTTTGTTTGTCAACATCTCTTATAATTTGAAAATCTTTGAAATTGTATTACTAACATACAGATTATGTTACATCATTTTAAATAGGATATTTTAAACTTTCATTAAAGATATAAAACGTTTCTTAGTTCCTAGAGACATGGCAGAAATGGTATTTTAAAGTTTGACGTTTAAAAAGCGCAATTAACTGAATTTTACAAAGTTTTAAACTGGGGTTCCTCCGAGATTATATAATAAACATATAGCATATGTTACATCTTCTTAAAGTACACGTTTTTAGCTTTTATTTAAGATATAAATCATATTTACACTCTTAGAAGTAACCCGGAAGTGACGTTATAAAGTTTGAGATTAAAAAAATGATATCAATTAATTTTGTTCAACATTTTTTTTTGTAATTTGAATATCTCTGAAATTGTATTACTAACATATGGGTTATGTTACATCATCTTAAGGAGGACATTTTAAGCTTTCATTAAAGATACAAATCCTTTCTTAGTTCCTAGATATATGGTCGAAATGGTGTTTTAAAGTTTGACGTTTAAAAAGCACCATTAACTGAATTTTACATATAGTTTTAAACTTGGGTTCCTCCGAGATTATATAATAAACATATAGCATATGTTACATCTTCTTAAAGTACACGTTTTTAGCTTTTATTTAAGATATAAACCATTTCTTCACTGTTAGAAACAACCCGGAAACGACTTTATAAAGTTTGAGATTAAAAAATGATATCAACTTATTTTATTTGTCAACATCTCTTATAATTTGAAAATCTCTGAAATTGTATTACCAACATACATGTTATGTTACATCATTTTAAAGAGGATACTTTAAAGTTTCATTAAAGATATAAAACGTTTCTTAGTTCCTAGAGATATGGCAGAAATGGTATTTTTAAGTTTGACGTTTAAAAAGCGCAATTAACTGAATTTTACAAAGTTTTAAACTGGGGTTCCTCCGAAATTATATAATAAACATATAGCTTATGTTACATCTTCTTAAAGTGCAAGTTTTTAGCTTTTATTTAAGATATAAACCATTTCTTCACTGTTAGAAACAACCCGGAAATGACTTTATAAAGTTTGAGATTAAAAAATGATATCAACTTATTTTATTTGTCAACATCTCTTATAATTTGAAAATCTCTGCAATTGTATTACTAACATACAGGTTATGTTACATTACTTTAAAGAGGATACTTTAAAGTTTCTTTAAAGATGTAAATCGTTTCTTATTTCTTAGAGGTATGAAAGAAATGGTATTTTAAAGTTTGACGTTTAAAAAGCGCAATTAACTGAATTTTATAAAGTTTTAAACTCGTGTTCTTCCGAAATTATATAATAAACATAGCATCTTTTTAAAGTGCACGTTTTTAGCTTTTATTTAAGATATAAACCATATCTACACTCTTAGAAGTAACCCGGAAGTGACGTTATAAAGTTTGAGATTAAAAAAATGATATCAATTTATTTTGTTCAAAATTGTTTTTTGTAATTTGAATATCTCTGAAATTGTATTACTAACATATGGGTTATGTTACATCATTTTAAACTTTCATTAAATATATAAATCGTTTCTTAGTTCGAAATATGGCAGAAATGGTGTTTTAAAATTTGACGCTTAGAAAGCGCAACTAATTGAATTTTACATCACGTTTTAAGCTCGGGTTCCTTCGAAATTATATAATAAACATATAGGTCATGTTGCATCGTCTTAAAGTGTACACTTTGAGCTTTCATTGAAGATATAAACCATATCTACACTCTTAGAAGTAACCAGGAAATGACGTTATAAAGTTTGAGATTAAAAAAATGACTTCAATTTATTTTGTTCAACATTTTTCTTTGTAAATTTTTTTTAATATCTTAAAATTTATATTGTAAAAAGCGGTTAATAAATAACGTTGCAATAAAACACAGTATTTAATTAATTTTTTATTTAACGAAGTATGAAATAAAAAATGACAAAAATGAGGGCGATACATAAAAAGAAATCATAACAAACGTTGATAAAAAAATAATAAACAGGATTAAGAAAAAGAAAAATCCAAAACGTCAAACTAAATTTGAATCGTTTCGAATTGAATATATAAATATGTTTTTAACTTATATTTGAAAACGTTACAATTTCACTAATAAATGTAAATGTACAATGAACTTTCTCTTTTTTTTTTAATTAAATTTACTTATTTTAGTTATTATTTAGTAGAAAAAACGGTCCCTCTTTCTTCGCACAAATCACGACACGTCACACAAAGAGAGGAAAACACCCTCTTTTTACATATTATTTTATTATGTTTTTCATTTTTTTTAATATATCCCATGTCATTATTTCGAATTTATCAATACGAAAAAAAAGTTTAACTTAATTAAATAATTTAATTTTAAAACAGTAACGCTCCCATACTGCCCATTTCATTCTGCTCTTTAACAAAGATCTCAAAATATTGATAAATAATTGTTACGGCTAATAAAATACCCGTTCCTGAACCAATAGCTCCTAAGAAATCAGCCATCACCGATAAGGCTCCAATACATAACCCACCGAAAGCGGCGGCTGTTGGGATATAACGATTCAATTCGTGAATCATTGAATTATCTCTATGTCCTCTCATAACCATTTGTTGTTCTTTTAACTGTTTAGCAACATCTTTCGCTGAACTCCCAGAAACTTCAATCCACGTCTTTGAAAAGAAAGCACACGAACCCAACATGAAAATAATATAAAGTACCGCATGTACTGGATCTTCAAGAATGTGACCAACGCTTTCCGGTGGACTTAAATAGTAACATAAACCACCTATAGGATACGCTCTAGCCGGTCCACCTCCACTAACATCAGCCCAAACTCCCAATAAATTAATCAAAAAGTTTCCTTGGAATTTTAACGCCAACATTTGTGAGATAACATACAAATTTGATACTAAAGCCGATTGTAAAATAATCGGAATATTCGATGTATAAAATAATTTGATGGGATAACTCGAATATTGACCGCGATATTTCGCACTTTTGATTGGTAAATCAACACGGAAACCTTGGAAGTATATTACTATAGCAAATACTAAAACCGTCGCTAACAAATTCATCAAATTAGGTAAGTTTTGACGGTAAAAAGCTTCTCTTAAAGCTCTAACTTTGTCCTGACGTGTTGTTAATAAATGGAATAAAGCGATTACGGCTCCTTCGAATTCAGTTCCACGTCCGGTGTTAACAGTAGCTGGACTGAATGCTTTCCAAATGATCGTTTCGCAAATGTTTGTTGCGATAAATAGAGAAATACCAGAACCTAATCCATAACCTTTTTGAAGGAGTTCATCGAGAAGAAGTACAATTAACCCAGCTACAAATAACTGGATTATGATTAACAAACAAACTCCCGCTCCAATTTCAGCTGGATCTCCATACATTCCAGTCATTACATAAACAATCGCTTGACCAACAGTAATTACCATTCCAAATACTGTTAAAAAGATTTAAATTAATTTTTAATGGAATACCAATTAGTTGGAACTTACATTTTTGAGCTCCATTAAACAACGCTCTATCTCTAGGACTATCTCCAACTTCAATAATTTTTGCCCCTGCTAAAAGTTGCATGATAAGTCCGGATGTAACGATTGGCGATATTCCGAGTTCCATAAGAGTACCTCTGTTTGATGCCAAGATAACACGAATCCAATAGAAAGGATCTGCTGAATCTGAACTCATTATTCCAAATAATGGAATCTAAATTTTAAAAAATTTTAATTAATATAAAAGTTTTTTGTATAAATTTATTAATAAATTATTTACCTGACAACACACAAGGAAAATAAATAGAGTTATAGCAGTCCATAGTACTTTCTCTCTGAATTGAATCTGTAACAAATTTAAATAGGACAAATTTATAAATTGAAAAACTTTAATTAAAATCTAAGTTATTTTTTACAGATGTTAAAAATCTTGATCGCGACATGTTTTACCTCGTATTTATAAGAAATATTGAGTGGACAAGCTGGAAATCGAATCCAAGAATAAATCCTAAGATAAGTATTTCAATTCAACCTGTTTCCCAGAAATGATTAAAGCTTTATTCATGTCTTTGTTGGGTGATTTACCGCAAGGAATCAGGTTTGAAAAAATGATTTCACTCGGAATTAGTTCAAAAGTCCTTACTTAACTTTACAAATCCCAGCGAAGATATCTACAGCTGTAATTGTTCTTATATAATACTATAATAATGATACACTTCGTGAAATAATTGGGGAATGAACAAAGTGATTCTGTGCTTGATAACTTTTCCCAAATCTACTTGCAGAGAATTTGTTCCTAAACCATACTGTTCTTGTATTTAAGTCATTATTATTTAAATACAACGAGATTTTAGAGAAAAGAAAACACACGAAAAGTAAATTAGATAAGGGAGTTTGATCCATGTTTGATCCAAAAGCAATACTTTTTCTGGTCTTTTTCAATTTATTGTCTAACCGGTTTCGGCTTACGCCATCATCAGAGACATTAGAAATATAGATTAGATTTTAGCAACTTATTTTCCATTTAGTTGTTCATGTAAATGGCTTCACAAAGGTATACAATATAAAATTATAAATATGAACACATTAAAACTCACGTTAAATGTCATGTGTTTCTAATGTCTCTGATGATGGCGTAAGCCGAAACCGGTTAGACAATAAATTGAAAAGGACCAGAAAAAGTATTGCTTTTTATTGAATTTATATTATACGAAAAGTAAACGCAAAAACCTTCAATGAAAAATTATTTATATCAGAACTCTGGTACACAAAAAAATCAAACTTGGATTATATCTATGCAGTCATAGGTAAGCAACTGCCGCAAGCCACTTCACTTAAGCCACGCATTTGTTGAGGCATCAGTATACTTTTGAAACTATATTAAGTGAAAAGTTGATATGATATGCATCATATATCATATTTTGCCACGGCATGCAACTAATTCATCAATTTCGATTTTGGAATTGTTTAATTATACACAAAAATTCTGCATTCAAGTGGATAAACTGTCAAATTAATTCCAAACAACACAAGTAAATATTTCAGCGCTTCTAAACCTAAAATAGAAGTTTCAGAACTCAAAAGAGCAGAAGATTTGCATTAGACTGAGGTTTTGAGTCAACTGACGTTTTATTTGAATGATTCCAATCTTCGAACACACTGAAATTCTCGAGGAAATTCGAATTCATGTAGAAATCCAACCCTATAGACTACAATTTCCAGCAATTGAGAATCTTCAGGTTGATGAAGATTCAAACCAATAATAATTAATGTTCTTGAATCATTATCAAGAAAAATAATGAAAAAAGAAATGCTAATTAATCAATTCCGATTTTAAAATTTTTTAATCATATACAAAAGTTCTGCACTCAAGTGAGTGAATTGTCAAATTAATTCCAAACAACACAAGCAAATATTTCAGCGATTCTAAAACTAAAACAGAAGTTTCAGAAGAACAGAAGACTTGCGTTATACTGGGTTTTTGAGTCAACCGAAGTTTTATTTGAAAGATTCTAATCTTCAAAAACTCTGCTATTCTCGAGGAAACTCGAATTCATGTAAAAATCCAACCCTATAGACTACAATACCTAGCAATAACTTGTACGTCTGTTGACAGGACTCGAACTAATTGACACAATATACTAGATTGACCACTAGCTGTTGCTGTCAATTTTGAAATCAAAACCTTAAGAATTTAACAGATCTCAACATCTAAAACATCATGTTTGTGCTCCCAATATTTCAGAATTCAACTTTAAATTCTTGCGTAAATAAAAGTTAGCTTAAGTATACAAGCTTCTGAAACATTCCAGAATTTTGAGTAAATCAAGTTGTCGTAGAATCAGATAGAGACCATGATATTCACCACATATTATATGGTTTCGATTTTGGGATTCTTTAATTATACGCAAAAGTTCTGCATTCAAGTGAATGAAGTGTCAAATTAATTTCAAACAGCACAAGCAAATATTTTAGCGATTCTACAACTAAAACAAAAGTTTCAGAACTCAAAAGAACAGGAGACTTGCGTTATACTGGGTTTTTGAGTCTACTGAAGATCCAATTGAAAGATTTCAATCTTAGAACATACTGAAATTCTTGAGGAAACTCGACTTCATGTAGAAATCCAACCCTATAGGCTACAATATCTAGCAATAACTTGTACATCTGTTGACAGGACTCGAGCTAATTGAAACAATGTACTAGATTGACCACTAGCTGTTGTTGTCAATTTTAAAAATCAAAACCTTAAGAATTTAAAAGATCTTAAGATCTAAAACATCAAGTTTGTGCTTGATGTTTTAGATCTTAATCAGAAATCAGCTTTGAATTCTTGTGTAAACCCAAGTTAGCTTAAGTATACAAGCTTCTGAAGCATTCCAGAATCGATGTAGTGTCGTTGAATCAGATACACACCATGATAGAAGATATTTTTGATCGAACTTAAGTTGTTCAAGTAATAAACTTTAGATTCTAGGGGAAAGATTTTTGTCGATTATCATATCTTGTCAATTTAATGATCCTTCCTCAAGACGCTGTAATGGTAATAACGGTTGTGGTTACCTTTGTGTCGGTGTCAATTGATAGCCGTCGATGTAGATCTTGTAATAATACAGATCAATGCAATACTGATAAACGGAACTGATTCTTTTTTTGGATAAGAGGGGCAAATATATCCTCGAGAAAGAGAATTATTTTTTGTGCTTTGCTGGTTTTAACTAAAAGTGCTACCATCCAACAGCTTTACAGAATCTGCCACCAAATTCTGATGCAATCGCGACTACTTGTGGACCATTTACTGGACCAGCTAGATTTTTTTGGTAGGTTCTTGTTTCTGACGGTGCTCAAAATAAAAAAGGTTCAACTTCTTGTATAACTCCTAAAATGCCTCACTATTATGTCTTAAATCAAATAATTTGTTTTATTTGAACAAACTCAAAGTGGTTTATGTCTTTTGGTGTGTGGCCCTTTCAGATCTGACGTTGGCAAGTCGTTAAACGATATCTTGTTTATTGACGGTAAATTGAAAAATAAAGCTCAGCTGTATTTAGCCCAACGTATCGCCTAAACGCTGTTTTTGCACTGCGAATTTTGCAAAACCTTGTTGATGCCGATTTCCAATCAGAGATAATTAGGGCGCAAATATAAATAGATGTGGTTTTTGATTGCCTCTGTTTAAGGTTCACAGCTTTATACGTTCATGGAGTATCTAATTTCATAAAGATTTTTGGTCTAATAGTCATACAATTTAAACAATCGTTTGTGCCCAAAAGAAAACAAAAAGAAATCTTGGCAAGAAGCAAAAAAAACTGATCCAGCTTGAGAATCTTCAGGTTAATGAAGATTGAAACCAACAATCATTGAAATAAATAGTCGCGTTTGTCATACATCACAAAAATATTGTGGTTATCCCAGGACTAAGAATTTAAGGAATATATGGAAGTTAGCAAGCCATAACAATCCGTTGAGATGTACTTCTTGGATCATGTCAAAACAGAACCTTTTTGATAACAATGAAACTATTGTCCTAAACTTTTGGAGGGCGTAAGTTACAATAGATCTTATAGAATCTTCTAGAATCATCTTTTTTAGAAACAATGGCTCAGGATGTTATTGCAATCTTCAAAGCTTATTATCTCCTTAATGTATTCAGAGAAATGCTGAGAGTTTAAACCTCTGCAAACAAAATAGAAAAATACTGTTGCTATATTTCAAAATATATTAAAACATCAAACTCCTTTGGTATGAAGTTCAGAAGATTAGGATTTGCAAGCAAATATTATGGAGATACAGTTCTCGAATGGTCGCATTAAGGTTTGAATGTGCGGAGAAATTACGACTTGGTACAGATTCCATCAAATTTACATCTTATCCAGCATAAGAATTGCATACTTTCATAAATGGAGATTGATTTGGATTTGTTTTATGATTCATATTTTTTTAAATCCTAATTCAATACATTTTCTTTGTACAAAGGAATTAAATTTAAACTATTTACTAAAATCTATAAAAAGAATCATTAAATATACATAAACATAAGTAATTGTTGTATTATAACCTTAAGCACCTTAAATCTAAATACAAATGTATGAAAAATTATGTTATTAACTAGCAAAAAGATTATACAACATTATTAGTTCATGTTCATTTCAAATGTTAGTTGATGTACAAATAATATCTATATTCATATATTTTTCATTTCTGATTTTAAATCTTGATGTATTTGGTTTAAACAATAATTTTATTTTAATTATACATTATCATATCTTTAAAATACATTTAGTATATAAGGGAAAGTAAAAAGATAAAGTGCCACATGTACTCTTTTCAAAAATCCATCTGTTAGATAAAATCATCAATGAAAAATATATTTTTTAAGTAAGATACATTAAGAAAATCTAACATATGCTTAAAAAGAAAACGAAATTTCAAAAGATAAGATAATAAAACCACTAAGAAAAAAAATTCTAACTCACCTTTCTTTCAGGTTTTGCAATTTCAGGTAGAATGCTACAAAAAGGTTTTATAACCTCAAGAAATTTAACTGGAACAAATTAAGAAAAGGTATTATTTAAAAACGGGTCACGATAAACTATTAAGGTGTATTAATAAAGAAAATTGCCCAGCGTGGCGGGTTTAATGTTCATGGTTTTTTGAAAATTCTTGACAGAAACGTACTCAATTTTTAGGTTAAATGTTAGAAAATCAGAAGAATACTTACTGCCCATTGTTTCTGGGTCTCGTCGGCCGTTTTAAATGAGGAATAGGATCACAGATAAACGCGTAAACACTCGTTCCTAACGTGTCACGTCAAATGAGAACTTCTGACGGCTGGTTTACGGTACTTTCTGGTGTAGATTTGGCCTATACCTCGTACACGTAGCATTCGTGTTGGTCACGTGATCGATGATGTTGGCGTTGACTCGCTACGATACACACTGTACAGATACTGTGAATGAAAATCGAACAGATTTTTTTACATAAAATCAATAATTATTTTTCAAATCTCTTTTTCAACGAATCATTATTATTTTTATAACAAAATTTTATGATTTTAATGATAATTTTTATTAATTAAAAAGAATTTATTCAAAGATACTTTTTGGACATTTCAATTAATAAATTACCGACATCTATTGGAAGAAATTAACATTATTTGATAAGCGGGGACTTTAAATTTATAATATAGGCAGATAATTTAACATAAATATTTCGTTGCAAATTTTAGAAATACAGTAAAATATTACAATAATTTAATTCCAAATGTAAAGTAATAATTATTGCTTTATATATTGACATATAAAACGTCAGACATAACCTCAACTTTGGTTATCTTATTTTAGATTGTTTTAGATGATCCAGCAAAATATTGAGTCTTAAATTTATTTTATCTCTAAATTTTATTAATATAAGTTTTATAATTATAAATTTTGATATGTTCAACAGGCTTCTTCATTACACACCATCAAGACAATGGAAATAGTAACTCATTAATAATTTCATTAAAATTCTTTGAAGACATTATCATATATATTCAAGAAAATGTATTGGTTGTGCATACAAGTATATCTAAAACATTGTTGGAACATTTTTTTATTAAATTGATACATCTTCAACAATAAGAACAGTGTGGGTCTATTCTATACACCATATTTTGAAGTGTTAAATATTAATGAGGGTGACCTTTTTTTATTTTTAGGTCCTTTTTAGAAACATATAATTTTTAAACTGCAGCTTGTTATCATGAAATGCATTAATTAATATGTTATTATTGTGGAAACATTCTTAATGAAAATCCAAGCCAATTTTATTTCAGAAAAAACTTTGCCTAAAAATGGTTTTGTTGATAGTTTTAAATCAAGTTGTGAAATAGCAAACAATGAAATAGCAACAGTGTTGAATTAAAAACAGATATTGTTGCAAGATTTTGTCAATAACCATGTTAAAACTCTTGTGATCAGTAATTTTCAAACAACTTCACACATTTCATTTATAAACTGTCCCAACAAATAATAAAATTAATAATCGATTATTTTAACGTTAGGCGCAGAACTAATAGCAGGGCATTTCCTTCATTTATCTTCTTTTCGGTATATGTTTACATTCAAAGTATGTTTTTTCTGATACTTACTTGGTGATATTTTTAAGACGTCGTCGTATAATACATTTAAGCCCTTCTGTCTTAGTGGTTAATCTAGTTTTAACGTCTTTACTACTAAAAAGGTTACTTAGAAACTGTTTGTTATACTATGTATAACTGTATGTGACTCAAAAGTCTGGAGATGCCTAATTTATTACTAAATAAATAACCAGAATGGTTGATATGTAGATTTTAATCTCATCCACTATAAGTCTCAAGTACCTGGTTCTACCCACTCTCTTTATAATACCACAACAAGAACAATTACGACCACCAGTTATGCAATCCCTATTATAAACACGAATCTCATTAAGATTTAGAGGGTAATTGTAAGTTTGGAACGTCAAAAAGGGGGATTTTGTGGGGTTCAAGGGAGATTAATTATTATACAGCCAGTACCTACTTAATAGAAACATAATATGTCTAGTAGCAGTAGTAGCAGCGTCATTCCATGAAACTCTGGAAACCAAAAGAACTGTGTCATCAGCGTACGACATGTGCGTCCACAAATGTATGAAGGAGTAAGTCGTTAATATACACCAGGAAAAGCAGAGGACCGAGGATTGATCTTTGCGACAGTCCGCACGAAACATTACGACTATCACTGTGTTGTTGATTTATAGCAACAATCTGAGTTTTATTAGATAAAGAAGAACTGACAAAATCAAGATACATCCCTTTAACACCATACAAATCCAGTTTGGCAATCAGTATATTATGATCTACAGTATCAAATGCCTTTGCCAAATCCAAAAATATTCCTATAATGGAAATAGAAGCATCCAAAGCATCACTGACTTTCTTGGTGAATACAACAAAAGCATCATCAACCCCCCTTCCTTGAAAACCATACTGACAACTGGACAGAATGTGCAAGAATTTAAAAAGGGATGTCAGTGAGATGGGCCTATAATTTGTTAACCTTGTAGCACAATCTGTTTTATGTATAGGAATAACAACATATTTTTTTAGAACATGTGGAAAACATCAACGTGCTAAGCACTCATTTATTAAAATTGATAATGGAGCAGAGACATCTTTTATTTTTTTTATTATACTCGTAGTTGCTGATAGGTTAAGATCCAATAATGTCAATAACATCACTTTCAGTAGTCGGTTTCCAGAATAATCTTACAGAATTTAAGCTTATGTTATGTTTAAAGTTTTTGTTGTTGTGTGTTAGAGACACAGTTACAGACTTTTAAGTGTGCACACGCAAAGATTTGAAGTCCGACAGTTAAGTTTAATGGGCAACCCGATTCCCTTTCAACTTTCGTACTTTGCCAACTATCGGCCGACCGCTTAAACAGCACTAGTTTCTATGTGCAGGCGCAACTCCGGCGATTTTTTAGTAGGTAGCTGTCTTTGATTTGTATTACCACCTGTCTTTCTCATCCTACAATGTCGCCGATTTCGGAAGAATTGAGCGAAAACCTTATTGAAGAAGTGGAGAAGAGGTCAGCATTATATGAAAAAGTATGAAAGAATACTCGGACTTAAACATTAAACGGAAACTGTGGCTGGAAGTATGTGAAGTAGTTTCTGAATTTTACAATATTTCGTATTGTTGATGATTCAATAAGATATTAGAATGACAAAGTTTGAAAGCTAGATCCAGTTTCCAAATATCTGTAAAAAAATATAGGTATCTATATTATCAATTACGCTGTATTGTATGTAAAACGGACTTCACACCCATACGACACATTTTTACGAAGAAATATCTTATTCACCCAAGTTCCACAGAAGTAGAGGTAAAAAACAGCCTTAAAATCTACGCTGATGGTTCAAGTAGACGGGAAAGAGCCGGACTCTTATCGTACGATCTCCACGTATCTGAACGTCTAGGTAAAAGTATCTCCGTCATACTGGCGGAGTTAATCGCCATACAACTTGCCGCTGACGTTATTGTCAGATCCAACTTGGAAGGTAAGATTTTCACAGTTTACACTGACAGTAGACAAGCTATTTTAGCCCTGAGTAGAATAATAATTACCTCAGGACTTGTTATGGGTTGTCATCTGACATTGGAGAAGGCCGCAGTGCATAACTGTGTTATACTTCAATGGATAAAAGGACACTCGACTTGTTCAGGTAGCAAGCACACTGATAGGCTTGCCAAAAGGGCTGCCAAGCGAGTGCCCTGTTCGCCTGAACCGATAATCGCCCCGTCCTTGTCAACTCAGATTAAGATAATTAAAGATTTTACCCACAAAAAGTTTATGAACTGGTGGGACAGGGTTAAGGGCTGTCATCTGTCTAAGGAAGTATTACATTATCCCTCAGCAGAGGCAGCCTTGTCTCTCGTAAGGTTTGATAGAAACGCTCTACGAAAGCTTGCTGTTAGTCCTCTCTGTCGCTTTTGTGACGAGAGCGAGGAGACGGTTCGACACATCTTGTGTGACTACCCCACTCTGCAAGACCTCAGAATGAGAGACTTCGGAGAGGAATGGCCGAACAGGAATGGCATCAGGAACACACCTCTGAGCTGTATCCTAGCCTTCAGAAATTCCTTAGACTGGTTGATGTAGCCGGAGGACGTACAAGGGGGCCGTTGGGGCCTAGGTGCTGTATGCAGAAGTATATCCTCCCCTTTCCTACATACATATCAATTACGCTGTGGTTTTATAATTTCAGGTAACGAGGTTCAAAAACGTTGGAATAACCTGCAGACTTGTTTTCGTAGGGAACTGAACGCACAAAAAAATACGAAATCAGGCCAGGCTGCCAGCAAGAGGCGCAAATATGTTTACTTCAAAAAAAAGGTAATTTTGTTGTCATGGTATGATAATCGTGCTACGGAAAGCAACTTAGAACCACTTTCCGATGATGATCATGTTGACAGCGACACCGAAAGTGGACTTCTTGGATCCACCTCTATGTCAACCCCTTGACAAGAAAATAAGACCGCTAAAAAATCGTTCAGCTATTGATGATGCAGACAAGGCATTGCTGCAAGCACTGGAAGACACAAAAGCTAATGAAGACACCAACTTTGCTTTATCTATCATTCTTTCTCTCTGCGCTCTTAGCCTAGACTATATTTAAGTAGATCATAGCTAAGGGTCATCATCAGACAAATTCAGCATTGTATCAACGCACAACAAATTACATATCTCAATCACATTTCTCCTATTTTACTAATGATTCTGAATTAGTAGAAGTAAAATGCAAAATAAATCTAAAGAACGAAAAATTATGTTATTCTACTTACTGTAACACTTCGGCAGATATCGACGTCGTAAAATTGTATCCTGTTTTGCTATGGCTGGTCCAATTAATTGGACAAGTTCATAAAAACTGGTAAAAGCAAATGAGCTTTTTAATAAATTGATATAATCTGCAAAATTATTTCAATATCCGTAACTTTTCGTAATTAAGTTCCGTAACTTTTCATAATTAATGCAAGAGAGTGTCTGATCAAATCCATCGTTTCTTGATTGCGAATCAATATCCAAAGAAATCCTGAAAATGCAAAGAAAGTAGTCAGTTATTCCAAAAGAAAAAATCAACGACATAATCTTACTGGGCGGAACTCTAGTTCTAATCAAATAGTGATCTTAGCACGACTCAGAAACACTAAAAATCTTAGTTGGTTTAGAAATACATTGAATAAATTCGTTTTTAGTAAGTATATTCAAATATTAGCTTTTAGAGTGCCATCTATTGAGCATAACTTGTTTTAAAAACGATTAAAAACCTAATTTAAATCCACTCTAATTGTTTTATAATCAAACTTTTACGAAATGTTACTTTAATCATTAATAACTGTGACTAAAAATAAAAACAAAACTTAAAAAAACATAATTGTTTTCTATTTCCGTCTTACATTCGTTCAAGGTTGCTTACATTTAAGGTCACATCTTGGGATTAAAATCCCAATCCCAAAAAAGAAATAAATACTGATATAGAAAGGTTTACTTTCACTCGAAAGTTCTCCTTTATAAAAAACAAAACCGGTTTAAGCACGTTTTCCAATTTATTTTATCTATTTTAAGCTAGAGAATAAAAAAAAAGGCAAACTTAATAATCGTTAATTTTTAAAAATTGTTTAAGTAAAGAAACATTAACGTGATTAAAAACCTTTACATAACGTATTAAATTTAAACGCCGATGTGTTCGATAGAAAATCGAACCGAACGCAATATTTCGTAATAAATTAAGTGTCTCAAGTTCTCAAAAACTCGCGACACCGGTTTTCCAAGTACATAATACGCTTTTATGTCCCTCGATGAGCTGACGTATACAAAATTTTACTTGGGTTTTGTCGCGTTTCGTTATCATTTTATCACTCAACTCTATATCTTTACTTTGTACGGTTTATTCATAAAGCTGCTTCAGAATTTAACGGAACGTTTTTCAAAAATCACGAAAAAGTTAAAATATAAAGGTTTTTATTAGAAAATAGTGAAATAGTGTTTTAAAAATGAATGAGTCTTTACCTTGGAGTGGAAAATGCGTTAAATATTTGTTGTTTTCGTTTAATTTGATATTTTTTGTAAGTAGAAAAACGTTTTTATTTTGTTAACTTGAAAAGTATAAATTTTCCATGTAAATTATTATTTATTTTAAGGATTTTTATTGTTTTTTTTTTTATCAGATAGTGGAATAAAATGATTCAAAGGAACTGAAATAACATGTTTATAACTGATAAGATTTTTTTAATTTTATTATTTTTTTTTTTAAAGAGATATCTTTTTGTCTTGTTGTTTTCTCATCATTGTCCTAAATCAAATAATATTTAATAATAAACTTCTTTTCTTAATTTCATTCTTGTATTTATTCTGTTTTAGGTAATTGGAATAATTTTAATTTCGGTTGGAGTCAGTGTAAAAGCTTATTATCATCAATATGAATTGTTTTTGGACAATCAATTCTTTTCCGCCCCAAATCTACTAATAGCAATCGGTGTAATAATCTTTTTAATCGCTTTCTTTGGTTGTTGTGGGGCTATTAAAGAAAATTATTGTATGATAATCACCGTAAGTTAACTTCATTTATAACAATAATATTAAATTAATCCTTATTAAATTGTTTTAGTTTTCCACTTTGATGATTTTGGTTTTCGTTTTACAATTAGCTGCTGGAATTGCTGGTTATGCTTTAAGAAACTCCACCCATTCGTATTTAGAACAAAAATTAAACGATTCTTTGCTTAGTTATGGAGGTGAAAATATGGAAAATCTTAATACTATTTGGGATTTTATGCAGAGAACTGTAAACAAAATTGAAAATTCTATTATTATATAATATTAATTAATTAATATTGCAGTTTAAATGTTGTGGAGTAAATGAACCTGGAGATTGGAGTCAAAACCAGAATTTCAATAAAACGATAATCGAAGTTCCAATTCCGATCTCTTGTTGTGATAATAAACCTGGAGCTGTTGATGAAATTACTTGTAGAATAGGTGAAGCTGATGATATGCTTTATACTCATGGATGTTTAGAAGGATTTGGTGATTTTATAAGGGATCATGCAAAAACAATTGGAGCAGTTGGACTTGGGTTTGCTTTTGTGCAGGTAAATCCTATTTCGACCCTTAAATGAAACATAAATCAATTTAAACGTTATTTTTTATTGATATAGCTGATTGGAATTATCTTTGCTTGCCATTTATCCAGGCAACTTAAATATAACTACGATAACATGTAAAGCGGTCTTCAAAACTGGTAATTGAACGTAAAAGAAATAAGTGTATCTTATATGATTCGTTTTATAAATCGCTAGTCCTATTTTTACTTAAAGTGTTACTCAATAAATAAAAATTCTTATAATTTCGTTTTTCTTAGTTGAAAATTAAAAATAACCTAAAAAAAAATATTTTGATTTGACAGATATTATTATAGCGCCATCTATTAGAGAATTTGTTACAGATGATTTTTATATTTAAATTTATTTATATTAATGTTTATTTATATCGTTTTAAACAAAAAGCTTCAAAAACATATTAATTCCAATTTAATTTTGAATCAAATTATTTTTTTGGGTGTAAAATTTATTTTAGCGCCATCTACATTTTCCATAATAGTACAAAACATAACCTCCATTAAGGTTATGTTCTTTCAAAAACACATATTTTCTTAATTTATATACCAAAACGTAAAAAAAACATTTTTTATTAAAACAAAGAACACATACAATTAATTTATTTAATCAATACATTTATTATTTAACCAACTATACAAATTAGTCTATACTTCAACCTAATGCATTTCATCGGTGCTTTCCAGCGCTAACTCAGGTTTATCAAAACCTAATTGCTCTGGGGTTTCCAAACCAAGTTCTGTTAAAGTTGGTTGAATTTCCTGTACGATGTATGGATAAATTTCGTTTACTTTTCCACCACATTTATCCTTAACAGCTTCGATAAATCTAATCGCAAGGGCGTAATCGTTAACCCTTCTGCAAGCTTTCAAGGCGGCAATGATGATTTTCGGCTCGGGGACCAAATCCATACCGCAAATATCGTTCATTCCTTTACGAATTTCCCATCCATCCAAATCTTTACGATTAAAATAGGATTCATACCTTGCATCCAATTGATCGTCGGTTTCGGTACTTTCTTTCGACATAAACCGACTTGAAATTAAGGAAACGGCCGGTTTTTGACCATTTACTGATCTTAAAGAAGACGTAGCACGAATTAATGCCGTACGAAACATGTTTCTTTTTGGAAAATACGTGTAGAGATGATTATAATGTGGTGTTACACAACGAGATGATATAAAGGTAAGATTTGCGCATGCGCAGAATAGTGGTTTTGGTGGGTTATTCAAAAATTAATAAAAATACAAATTGATTGAAGAATTATTTGTTGTTACATTTAAATTTTCCTAATTAAAATATAAATCATAAATAAAGTAAGCTGGTATACACTTAGATTCATTCTTTTTAAATAAGCGATTGAGGTTATGTGTTTTATAACATACATACACAAACTAAACTTTATTTATTAATCTTTAATATATTTTTGAAAACTACATGAAAAACTTAATTTTCCCTCAATGTCTTGTAAATTAATTTAGTTATATATTTAAGATATACAAAAAGATATTAATCTGATGACATAAATGATTGTGGTGCCATCTATACAATAATAAAATAAAGAAATAAAGACATGGCGGGCCATTTGTTGTACTGTCAACTAAAAAAAAATTTACCGAAATGATTTTATTCGTAAGGTAGATAAAAGATTCGAATCTTATCGTCAAAAATATAATTTAAATAAATACATTTCACATAATTTGGTTATCTTCCCAGCGATTCCGACGTCATGGAGTTAAACGATGGGTTAGATCAACTCGTTCTCAATGAACAACAACAACAACAAAGTCAGGCATCGAGTTCGGTTTCGGAAGAATCCTCATCAAAATCGCTTGAAATGGATCAAGTGAAAATACGCCGATCTACGAGGATTATAAATAAAAGTATCCCAATTCCGAAAATTGAAATTAAGACGGTCGTGAAAAGTCAGTGGAAAACTACTAATACAGAACAAGAACTGGCTAAGATTTATTTAGAAGGTAAAGGGGTGGCGAAAAAGAAAACGGCTTCGTTGGAGACGATATTTGAAGAACCAAAGATTGTAAATAATAGTCCACAGTATACGAGCGGGAAGAAATTTAGACGTATGATTAGTTTTCATGAAAGTGGAAGTGTTATAGCTCAACATCGTGTTAAAAAGAGGCACATGAAAGCTAAGCAGGTTTTAGGGAATAATAAGAAAGGTTTTAAACAAAAGAAAATATCTCAGGAAGTGTTTATGAAAAGATTGAAAACTTTATTAGACAACGATTCAGATGATTCACGAGGTTAATTGATTATGAGATTTTCACTGTAACATTTCCATTAAAATTTGACTATTTTTTAAAACTACAAGTTTTTTAGAAAAGTGATTCATGTCATGTTACAATACATGTTATGCATTAAATTATACTTGTTAAAATTTAATGGAATGTGCACAATTGGGAATGAATCGTTTATATTGGAATTTAAAAGTTTTTATTTTAAGTATTATTATTATTATAAGTCTATTATATATAAAAATAAATATCTTATTTTATGATTATCTTAATATTCGTGATTTTTTAACTTTTAGGGTTGATTTGAAATATATTTTCTATGAAAGTTATTAATAAAATGATATTATTATTAAATATCTTTATTTAAGCTATCAAACCGGTAGTAGGTGACAATTCTATAATTTTGAACATATTTGTAATTACATAATATGTTTACATATAAATAAAATAATAATTAACAATAATAATTAATTAACATAATTATGTTTAATACTTTAATAGTTGGTATATTGTGACTTAGGTCATCCTTCATACGCACGTGTCTAGGGCATCTAAATGATTTTTTTCATAAAATTTCCTACTAAACGTTTGTCTCTTTCGCAAATTTGTTCAATTTTGGTTTTTATATACGGGTGTTTCATTTAAAATGAATGAAAACCAAAACTCGAATCGAAAAAAGTTTCTAGTAAACTTTTTTTGGTCAAAAGGGGGGCACAGGGTACACATGAGCAGATTTTTTTTTCAGGGTTGCCTAAAGGCCCTTCTGACGTCATTTTCATTTTTTCAAATCGCACATGTACTTTTTTCTTTCAACGTCTTGAACAACTTGACAAACTAAGTAAGTACTTTTTACATAAAATATTTTTTTCTTACATTCTGCGTTATGAAGATATTTACAAAAAGAAAAATAAAACAACATTTTTCCAAATGTAATTAAAAAAATTTAATTAATTAAAAAACGATTTAATTAATCGTAAAATAGTACTAAAATTCTTCTTCATTTTTGAAATCACCTTAGAACATTGATTAAAATTTATAAAGTTACCCTGTATAAATCGATTAAATGCTCAAAATGATGACCATCCACTTCTAAACATTTCTGAATTCTCATTGAAAACGTTCTCTGCACATTCCCAAGCATTTCTTCAGTTATTGATTCGCAAGCTGCTCTGATACGGTTTTTCATATCGTTTGGTGTTGTTGGAACCTGGTTGTAAACTTTCTCTTTGAGGTAACCCCAAAGAAAGAAATCGGGAGAAGTTAAGTCGGGTGATCTAGCTGGCCAATTCAACGGTCCATTACGTCCTATCCATTTTTCAGGAAACATTTAGTCTAAAACTTCTTTTGTGGCTAGAGCATAATGAGATGGACATCCATCATGCTGATACCATAGCGCAAGTCTTCGCTCCAGTGTAAGGTCTTCCAACAAAACCGCTAAATCGTTCAACAAAAAATTCCGATACATTCTGCCATTCAAATTGCCATCAATAAAAAACAGGTCCAATTATTTTATTGCCGCACCAGACATTAACTGACCAAGGTTTTTGATGATCAACTTGTCTTAGTCAACGAGGATTTTCATGTGACCAGTAGTGCATGTTATGACGATTTACTTGGTCGTGATTGGTGAAAGAGGATTCGTCGGAAAATAGTACATTGAAGAAACAATTTTCATTCAATCTTAATTTTTCCATAGCCCAAGTACAAAATTGCACACGATTTTCGAAATCATCGCCATGTAATTGTTGGTGTAGAGAGACATGATACGGATGAAACTTATTAAGTTTCAAAATCCGATGTACACTCGTTAACGAAATGCCTGAATCTTTTGACAATTGACGGCAACTTACATGAGGATTAACATCTACAGCTGCTAAAACAGCTATTTGATTCTGTTCATTCGTAACCGATCTTGCACGTGGTCGTCTTTTTTCCTCAACGTTACCACATTCCAGAAATTTTGTAACTATTCGATATAAAGTTTTAGGACAAGACGCGCTTTCTCCAGGAAATTTTCGAACTTAAATGCGATGGGCCTCAGCGAAATTTTCACGACTTTCACCGTAAGCTAACACCATCTGAATTTTCTGTGGAGTAGAGAAGTGCTCCATTTTTGCTTTGATCACAATGATTTTTTCGCTTGAAATTTTTATCCCACNATATTGACAAATCTTCAACTTATGTGAGCCACCCAGTTTCTTTCAAAAACTTTAAGGACTTATATACTAACATTGATTCATTAAAAACTAAAATTATAGATAATGATTTGATCGTTACTTTGGGTGACAAAGGAGCTGGGACTGTCATCTTAGATAAAACCCTTTATGTTTCTAAGACCCTTGATTTCTTCAAAGAAAATAATATCATCAAAATTAAAGCCAATCCTACCAAAACCTTCAATGAAAAACTTAGAAGGTTCCTGAGAGAAAACGCGACTCTTCTGACAAAGTTCAACATCAGTTCATTTAATTCCTTACAAATGAATCCCCTAGTCCCTACCCTGAAAAGTCTTATAAAATTGCACAAAAAAGAAAAGACCATCAGACCAATCATTAGCAATTCTAATACTCCCACTAGTAAAATCTCCAAAACCATCCAGAGATTTCTTTTTAAACATTTCCAAGATAAATTTACTTACTCTATTAAGAACTCAAAAGATTTAATCCACAAATTAAAAGACATAAAACTCAATTATAACAGCAATCTGATATCATTTGATATCAAAAATCTTTACTCGAATGTACCCATAGATCAAACCCTAAAATTAGTTAAAAAACATTTAATTGACTCCCAAGATTCATTCAACCTCAATATAATGGAAATAGACTCTTTTGTGGATTTACTCCGACTAACTTGTGAACAAAATTTCTTTACATTTAACAATGAATTTTTTAAAATGAATGATGGGCTCCCCATGGGTTCTCCAATATCTGGAGTCTTGGCTGACATTTTCGTGAATAGTTTCGAAACTGAATTCTTCTCTAATAAATACGTCTTGTTCACGAAAGATATAATTTTCTATGCCAGGTACGTGGACGATATCTTTATTATTTTTAATGGAAACCCCGCAAAATTGTCAGCGATATACAACATAATTAACAATATAAATAATTTACAGTTCACAATCGAAACAGAAGATAATTTTACCCTCAATTTTCTTGACCTGCAGATCTCCAGAAATATTAAAGACAACTGTTTACAATATAACATTTTCCGAAAACCTACCACTTCAGATAACATCATTCCGAGTAATTCTTTTACATGCTATCAACAAAAAACAGCAAGCTTTAGATTTTTCTTTAACAGATTATATAATATACCCCTTAATGAAAAAGACACCATCCTAGAAATTCAGAAAATCATTAAAATAGGACTAAATAATAATTTCACTATTACCGAATTACAAAACATCTATCTAAACGTTCACAAATCACATATCAATAAATTGATATATCCTCACTTTAAACAATTTCNCCTTCACGGTTTAATTGGCATTTCAAAAGAAAACTTCACGCTATGATTGGCATTACTAATTACTAAAGAAAACTTCACGCTATAATTAATGTTTGTAAACAGAACTAACCTTACGTAACATTCCTTAGTTATCAGTTTGTCAAGTTGTTTAAGACTTTGAAAGAAAAAAGTATGTGCCATTAGAAAAAATAAAAATGACGTCAGAAGGGCCTTTAGGCAACGCTGAAAAAAATTCTGTTCATGTGTACAATGTGTCCCCCTTCTCACCAAAAAATGTTTACTTGAAACTTTTTTCGATTTGAGTTTTTGTTTTTGAGATATAAGCTGATATGTCATTTCAAATGAATCACGCGGTATAGATCTTATTGCGAATATTGTGGATGGAATTGTTTGGGTGTCTAATTTTAGCCAAAATATTTAGACATTCTTTCAGATTTCTTAATTGAGCAGCGGTCGACATACAGTGTGTTAATTAATTATTGTACCCGACGTCATCACTTCAAGTATGCAACCAATATCACAGTATTGATATTGCAATACGCGATTTGAGTATTGCAATACCAGACTGCTAACCGCTACGTAAAAATTGGTAACGCGTAAAGTGTTATTTTTGGATTTGTCCGCTATGGGGGCGCTGGTGCATTTTATAATAATAATGGATACGATTAAGAGATGGCAGCACTATTTTTGATTTATATTCCCCNCTGGTTGAATTATCATTGCTACTAATTGGGGTAGAAATTCTAGGGGTATCCAACTGTGGGTTAAAACTAATATGAATCTTACGAGCTTCTGTTATTAATTCGTAAAATCTATCTTCAAATACCTCTCTATCGCTTTCTTGTGTTGAATCATGTGATTCGATTTTGAATTGAATGGATTCGTATTCGGGTAATAAATTAACAACGTTATCCAACCTAACCTTTAATTCGTCTGGTTTTCGGTTTGCTTGGTTGATTAAAAATGTTTCGAATCTCGTTATTTTAGATTTTATAAGAGTTCGTTTCTTGAGTAAATCTTCCATTGTGATGAAAGACTGATAAGGAAAGAAAGAAAAAGGACTGACCTTGACCGGCTCGAATGCTGCGGCTATGGCGCCAAATGTTCGTTAAAAATGATGTAATAACCAATTTCTTCGGAAATCTGCTCCCGTATCCGGTTCGTAGGACCAAAATGTTGTGGACTGTATACAGGGTGATTCATAAGTAATGGGCCAAATTGTAAATGTACGTTCAGGAGGCCAAAATAATAATATTTTCATTAACAATAATGGGTCTTAGTCTGCTCCTTACTGAGATACAGGATGTTAAAGCGAAAAAAATAAAATAGATTTTTGTTAATAGATCAGCTACTTTTCTACATAATGACTCATAGTTGACTTATAGTTTTTGTAAGGGTAAACAATAATGTGTGAGAGGATTTGAGTTAACTCGTAGATGTCGCCACATGCGCCATATGAATT